GCCAGGAGACGGATTCGTATCACAGTTTATGACACGGAGGGCGTAACGACGTATCGGTTTTTCAGGGATGGCTCAAGCCACGCGATAATTCTCGTGGGAAGTGTTCGCGTGCAACTTTTCGTATATACTTTCGGACATGATTTATTTTATTCCAGGCTTCGGGGAGTTTGTCGAGGAGAGTGTTTATGGATGGTTTATGGCGAGCGAAGGGGGAATTTCTATATTAGGTTGTTGTATACGAAATGAGTTGAGTCTTCACTCGTGAAAGATTAAATTTGTAGAGATTCGTATGGTATGCATTGTTGAAATGATGAGTGTGTATCGAAGAGGTGTAAGAAGTGAGATTCGTTACTTCCTCTTTTGTATCTAGGAATATTTATTCAACAAACGGATGTAAAAGTTTGTTTATTTTAGATTTACTTTTCATTTTACGTTGAATATTGTTAAGATTGTTATAAAGGGAAAGCTTGGAAAAGAGAACGTTGTTTTTCGGAGAGAAGGATTTATTTTCTTTAAAGTTTTATAGCAGAGAATATTTATTGGCGGTAATAGCAAGCGAAGGCAAGTTTGGTTTTGCAATTTTAATTTTTCGTCGGATGTTTTCGTGTTGTATGGTACACGAGAAAAGATAGTTGAACGAAGTGGTGTTGTTTTTTTTCTCGAAAATGATTAACTTTCTCCAGAAGTTTTATGCCAGTCATTTTAAGCTTCTTGATCTATAATAAATGGAAGTAAGTTCGTTAATTTTATATTAAATCGTTGTTTTTCGTCAAGATTGTTTTTTTCTTTTTTCACTTCAAGTTTATTTTACTTATTCACGATGCTAATAAATGAAGGTAAGCTTGTTAATTTTCCCAACTTTCATTTTTTCCACGTATATTTTCACGTTTCGTGGCACAACGTACGAGAAAAATGACGTACAGCTCTTATTTTTAATAGAATAACTTAACCTTAAGTTAACCGAGTTCGGTGTTTCGTGAATTTTTTTTTTTTAAATTCTTTCAAAAGTGTCAGACGATACGAAAACAAGTTAAAAACCACAGGAGCACGGGTTACACCAGCTTTGTAAAAGTTGTTTAATGCAACAGAGGGAAGTGATAAAAAGAATTTTGAATCTCTTTGTGAAAGTTTTTACTGTTAACGCCCTTGTATTAAACTTCCGTTTAGTTTCTCAACAATGACGAAACAGTATCATTACCCACGTACCGCGATTCCCTTTCTTTAAGGTTTGCATTTATTAAAGCATACGTTTCGAAAAAAAAAAAAAAAGGAAAAAGGAAAAAGAAATAAAAAAGCGAAATGTTCATTAACTCCACGAGATGCCAAAAGAAAAACTCTTCAACTCTTCGTTAACACTTTCTGAATTTGTTTAACACACTTTTTTTTTTTTTTTTAGTTTAAAACGGAATTAATTAAAACGAAGAGGAACGTTCTGCTGTTGTACATTTGTTCGACTTAATAAGCTGTAATTACAAATTTTTAATTCTACAAAGAAGTAGAAAAATAAAAAAAGAGAAAATAATAAAATAAAAATACGAATCGAATAAGTAAAAACTACTATATCTGCATCTTCTATTGATATTCCCTCAAGCATGAAACTTCCATTAAATTTTATAGAAATTTCTAAAAATTCACGATATCGTCATCAACAAATATTCAATTTTCTTTCGCAATTCTTTTTACAGACCAACCCAATACGTAAGATGGAATAAATTTCAAATTACGCGAAAAGCATTTTTCGACGATCACGAATAACAATAGCCGCGATTATTGTTATCTGTCGACGACGTTTATTTAAGGACGAGCCTTTAATATTTCAAAGCGAAACGACAGCATTGATCGTCGACTTACAAGCGTTGCTTGTCTTCCGGTGAACTAGTCCGTGGTTTCCGCAAAGCATAGAAACGAGTTGACCACGGGGTGTCATCGTCGTTGCTTGCATTTAGTGCACGTGGCCGTAGGCGTTGAAGTAGAACGAAAAAAAAAAAAAGAAGAGGAAGAAAGTGGAACTAGAGACGCCTTGAAAGAGCGACCACGGGATGGTACGATCTAGGAAGATGCTTCCTTGTCGCCTTGGGACATTTCTTACATCTTCCTCTTCCTCTTCTCGCTTCTTTCAAGGCGGAAATTTTTTTTAAACGGTATGTCGGATGTAAACGGATGTTCAGTTCGTAAGTGAAATATTATCGATAAAATTTTTATTCGCCAGATAAAATATATATCTAATCTATAATTTAGGTGTGTAGTAATTAAAATTATTATAAAAATGAAAATAAAAGATATAGTTTTTCTATTTATTCGATTCATATTTATTATTTATCTCTTTTTATTTCTATTTTATTCAATTATGTGTATCTGTCTTTATTATTATTTAATATTATTCCTAGGAATTTTCTCACATTATGTATGTAACATTACCAATTTTAACGAAACTTTTCTTATAAAAGAATTTATTCCTATTTTTAAAAATATATAAATTTATAGTTACTGCAATAGTAAAAATAAATTTAAATAGAAAACAATAAATTTAAAAAATAGCAAAAGCTTATATTATCCTTTATCACTCATCAAAATTTCTTTATGAGTTATTCTTACTTACAATTTAACCAATCAAATTTAACACTTACACAAGTCTCCATCTTCTCATCTCATCGTCCAATATCTTTTGAAGAGAAACTATAAAACCCAAGACGATACTTCACCTTCTTCATAAAACAAAACCACCCTCATAAAAGAAACACAAATCTCAAGATCACGAATCAAGAGAGAGAGAGAGAGAGAGAGAGAGAGAGAGAGAGAGAGAGAGAGGAGAGA